GGATCTTATCTGTGTTTTCACCATTATAGTCCCAGTACCTAGACCAGTGGTTCGCAAAGTGGAATGTACATCAGAACCATCTGGAGGGTTTATTAAGATGCAGGTTGCTGGGCCCCACCCCCAGAGTGCCTAACTCAGTAGGTCATGGGTGGGCCTGGGAATCTGCATGTCTGACAAGTTCCCGGGTGATGCTGAGGCTGCTGGTCCAGGGCCTGCGCTTTGAAAACCACCAGTCTAGACAATGCCTGGCACACAGTGGGTGTTGTCTATATATGCATGAATCTGCACATAACGATCTGCCACCTTCCTTTGCAATGGCAGTTTTCATTCCACTTTTATATTTATGTATACTTATTGGACTGTAAGTCTCCTCAAATTCCATGTGACAGGAGGGCCCCATGTGTTGTCAGCTCCATTGATTTGCCAGCGGATTGTTAAAAACCTAAAATTTTACAGGCCCAAGGGGAGCCAGTGAGAGTCACATCTTGTTCCCTGTGTCAGTAAAATGTCAAACTGAAAGATGATGTGACTCTCACCTGACATGTGACAGAGAACTTTCCCCAGGTGTCATCACTCAGGCCTCCCCTGTGATTGTTTAACGACTGTCCTGTTGGCTCGGATTCTGCTTTGGTGCATTGGAATGTATACAACTAGCTTACCTGGACCCCAGGTGATGGACTATAGAGAACCCATCGGTTTCTCTGTGTCACAAAACCCCTTGAGAAACTGACATGCTCTATAACCCCATTCCCCGTGTACACACACACACACCCCACGCACATTTTTTTACATTTAATTTCAGGAAGTTACAAGATACACCAAGTCCATTTCAATCCCAAATTAGAAACTCCTGAACTAATCATCAACTAGCTGTTTGGCAAAACAAACAAAAAACAACTGGATCCACAGTTTGTTACCGACTTTCCCGAGGAATCAGTGTTTTAAATATAATGAGACAAACCTTAGAGGAAAACTTTGGAGAAAAGCATCAGAGGAAGTCACTAGTTAATACAATTTATGACCCTGGAATGGGAAATGCTTTGGAAGCATGATTGGAAACCCAGGAATGAAAATAGAATAGTGAGATTGATCCCATAAAAATTTAAATGATCTGTACAAAAAAGACGGAAAAAAAGATCTTCCTAGTTTAGACTCTGCAGAGAAATCTCTGGGTTCTATCTTTTCCATCTCTATTCTTTCCACTTGAATTGTCTGGTGGCCTGTGGCCAAGCTCAATGAGACAAGACATAAGCTCATCAGAGCAGGCAGAGTGAGATTCCCATCTTTCAGAGAAGCCCTGTCACAGGGTTAATTATTTCATCAGCCATGGTTGGGTTTTATTTTGTTTTTTCACAATTTTTTCGAGATACCAGACATATACCATGCAGTGCCCCCATTTAAAGTATAAAATTAAGTGATGTTTGTTATATTCACGAAGTTGTACAACCATTGCCACTATCTAATGTTAGGACATTTTTGTCATCCCCAAAAGAAACCCCATATGTATTAGCAATCATCCCTCACCTCCCCCTCTGGCCAGGCCTAGGCAACCACTATCTGCTGTCTGTCTTTGTAGAGTTGTCTGTTCTGGACATTTCATATAAATGGAATCATACAGTATGGGGTTGTTTCCCTTAAAAAACATAACGTCTCTGAGGTTCATCTGTGTTGTAGCATGTTTCAGAATGTCATTCCTTTTTATTGCCGAATAATATTTCATTGCCTGGGTAGGCCACATTTTATTTTTCCGCTCGTCAGTTATAAGGTCATTGAGTTGCTTCTTCTGTTTGACTCTCATGAATAGTGCTGCTGTGACCATTGGTATACAAGTTTTTGCGTGGACATGTTTTCATTTCTCTTGGGTCTAGCTGCGGTTTTTCTCTTCAAGATTACCCAAGGAATTTTACTTAGCCTGTCTAATTATTTTGGTTTTATTTATGTATTTTTTCTATCATAACCTCATGGAGAAGTGAGCATGCTTGGATCCTAAGGACCTCAGAGCTCCTCTCTTCCCAATCCGGGCCCTTCCTGGCTTCTGTGTGTTCTGGGACATGACCGATCTTGCTGTGCCTTGGCTGTGAGGGCACCCTGGCTCTGACCCTCTCACGGGGTATTGTGAGGCTTCATGGCATAAATCAAACAGGATCTGCTCTTGAGAAGATGCCACCCATATGCATAGGTTAGTGTGTGTCACAGAAACCAGGGACCCTCAGGCCAAGGGCTTCCCCAGCACTGCAGGTGACTGTGTCACCCAAGAGGCCCAGGGCTGGATACAGAGGCACAGAGGGTATCAGAAATAGTGACCATTTTCTCAAGAGTTTGGCTTCCTTTGGGATCAGAATTTGATGGCTTTCCAAATTGCGCAAGCCACCTTCTGAGAGATGCCCACTGCCTGGTCAGCCCGGTCAGGGCGCAGGAAAAAGGTCGGGGCCATGCCTAACCATGGAGCAGAGGGGCAAGCTTCAATTCTAAATCCCACCCTTCAGCTACTGTTTCCCCAAAGATCACTGTACCCTCATTTAATCAAAAAGCACCTTGCTCTCTACAGACCCCCAGAGGTACCGCCTTTTGTGAAATCCCTGTGCCCTGACCTTGTTGGGGTAGGGGAGTGAGTGACCCCTTGCCTCTGTGTACGAGCTAATCAGTTTAATAAGGAGCCCCCTGTAGAGGCACTGGGAGCCCAGGTGGCAGAAGAGGGGTTCAAATATCTGAGCTTCCTCGTGTTCGCTGACCGATCACCTGCACCTCTTGCTCTTTAAAATCAGGCAGCAGGAAGCTCTGCTGATAAGTATGTAGACGATGAACGGAACAGGAACTGAGATGGCAGACATGCCTGGGTTCTAACTCCTATGTCGCCACTTACTAGCTGTATGATCTAGGACAAGTCACTCAGTCCTCTGAGACTCAGTTTTCCCATCTGTTAAAGGGAGATAATAGCCATATTTGCCTCGTAGGGTCATTGCGAGGATTACCTGAGATGATGCCTGTGGGGGCTCCAGTGTACTTCAGTACTCAATCAGTGTTTGCTATGGTTATGATATTATTTTAAAAATCAGAATTAAGGACCTCAAGTAATCTAGCCATCCTCTCTAAGCTGTTTAGGGAGGCTGGTTTTCTATTGCTCAATTAATTGGAAGCACTTAACTGGGCACCACAGAGAGGGCAGAGGATGAAACATAATTTTCCCCCAGGAATGTAAAATCCAAGGTGGGAGAGGAACCAAGACATGTGAAGCTCTGAAAGAATGGGTAAACAGTGAGCTCTACACTGGGAGTTAATGCCACCCAGGTTCAGAGAGGGAGACAGCATCAGAAAAGGCTGGATGAGCCAGATAAAGCCTCAGAGGGTGACTTGTGAAAGGCAAGATGGATTCACATCAGCAGAGCAGAGGGAGACAGAGGTGAAGGGGAGAACCATGTGAGCACAGGCAGGCTGGGGGCCCAGTGAGTCTGGGCATGGGGGGTGGTCTGGGGACAGAGCCAGAGACAAGCCTTCTGTGTCTTTCCCGGTATCACGGATCTCTAGAAATGACATGCTATGGGGTCTTTCAGTTACCTGTTCTACTAATAATTATCCTTACTATGTGACCGTCTGTCACTAATTCATTTGTGTGGACTATAGAGGGAGAAAGAGGGGGAGTTAGGTCAGAGGAGCTCTGACTCAATCTAGACCATGGCAGAGAGACAACTCAGTGGCAGCCATTGACCTTTGCCACCCTGCACCCAGCCCGCTTCTCCTACAACTATCATCTTGATCGTCTTTGGGGACCCAGCCCTTCATTGCTTTCAGTCCATACGGTTTTTGGATGGGGGTGACCACCCCTATGGCATGGATGGGCACCATACCCCCACTTGTTCAGTGAAATGTGACCCTGTGACTCTAGCTAGAACTGTGTTGGGGTGGCTGTCCCAGGAAGATGTCAGCCTGGAGCTGCTGGGAGCCATCTTGCCACCACAACAGATGAGCCTTCTTAGGAATAGAATGACCCAGGGATGCAAAGCTAAGAAATGGGGGAAAGACAAATTCAAGAGATCACCATCTGGGCAGCTGGATCTCACCATAGTGAAGCCCTGGCCTTGTCAATCACAGGAGGGAAAAAATGTCCTTTTTTTGTGTATGTCCTTTCAAACTGGTTTTCATTCCATTGTGACTAAAAGAATCCTAACTTATCTAAGTAGTTGTCTTGTTCCCACCAGCATTTTATTGACCTATCCTAAGCATAGATATTTGTAGCCCGTAGCAGACGGGTGCTGAGTGTCGTGGAATAATGGTACGTGTGTGCAAGTGGTGGAGACCTCTCTACATGTCCCTGAACAGGCACAGGTACATGTCATGTGCTTGGGAGTGCAGAGACAGTAGAAGGGGAAACCACGACTGCAAAATACGTTTCTCTTCTTTTTTCCTTGACTCTGCTTACAGAGCAATTCTCCCCAAACCCTTGATTTTTATTCCTTTTGTTCTGATCCAAAGAAAGGAGTGCTTGGATCTGTTAAGTATATTTTTCAGGGCTCTAGGAAGCCAGGGAGAGGTAGGGAAGGGGCTGAGGGGAAAGGAAGCTGTGCATATCCCATTTCTGTTTTTCCCTTTTGCCCAATTACAAAGAGATCAGCTGGCATCCTTTTATTTCCTATTTCATGCAGGGCTTTTAAAAACTCAGCATTAACTCTACTGTAATGGGATTTGTCTAATGATTTCCTGCAAAACATCTTCTTGGATCTCAGCAAAGATAATTCACTTGGTAGGAATCACTTCCTGCTTCCCCACTGAGAACTAGACCTACCTCGCTCTTGCTGGCAGCAAATGGACCTCCGAATGAGAGAGGGAGCACAGGAATATTTTACTGTAGCATCCGTCACATAGACTCAAGCCTGCCCCAAACTGCTATCAGGGAGGAGGAGAGGAAGAAGGGGGTGGGGAGAGCGTTTATGCTGAGCACAAGGCTGAAACCGGGCAGAAAGGCCAGAACAATATGGGCCCCTTGGAAAAATGGATGCACTCACCTCTTTGCTGTGGCTCTGGGTTACTTTCTTTCAGGGGTGACGGCAGCTGCAACAGCCTACAGCGTCCACCCTGTCCTACCAGGATGGCTGCACACAGGCGGCTGCAGGAGGGAGGGAGTTCCCATTCTCCATCAAGAGGGAGTGTCCTTCAACAGGAGGAGGCGATGCCCTTATATCCCTGGAGTCGAGGCTGTTGGATGCTCTTGTCCTCTCTCTCCTGCTCCCTCTCTGGTGTGAATGGAGCTCCAGGGAGCCCCAAGAGAAGGGCTGAGTGCCAACCACACGCCACACCTACCTTGATACAGGTTGTTTTCCCAGCCTTGGGGAGCCTGGGGAGGAGGCAGTGGCCTGGTTGTGAGGCCACCCTCTGCCAGTGCAGCTGATCCTGGTGTAACCCATGGAAAGTCCAAGGACAAACACTTGCGTATTTATTTCTCCCTCTCCCATGTGATCTTATTTTTGGACTGGACAAAAAGCTATTTGGGGGCTGGACAGCGGCCAGGTGAAAGGATAGTTATCTCGTCCAAGTTGTCTCCATGCCTCCCTGAACCCTGTTCTTCCCGGGTACCGGCAGATGAGTGGGGGTCTTGTCCTGAGCCTTACTTTTAATATACCCAAGCAATCAGTCCACATTACTAACTTTATTTCAGATAGCTCATCCCCACTCTTCGAGGTTTCACAGAGGATAAATGTAATAAACAAAGTCACTGCTTTCATGTCTGAGGCTGGTGGAAACATCATAGAGTCCATATACATATGGCCGTCATGTGCACACTATTTTAGGCACACAGACCCTTTATCAACACTGGGGTGGGACCCCCAGCCCTGGAAGGCAAAATATCAAGGAGCTAGGGCCTCACCTTGAATCACACTCATTCTGCCTTTCTCATCTGGCTGTCTCTGCTTCTAACTCCTAGGCTTGTAGAACTTAAAACATTTAAATATCTTGACTTTTTCCACCTCTGATTCTTCCTCTTCAGACTTGAATGGAAAGTTTTGAGACACTCCTGCCTGACAAAATGCCAATTCAGTATCATCGTCTTTGCCATCGTCCCTTTTACGGATTGAGCTCTTGCTAAACGCCCTTCGAATGCTGAGCACATGTCCTGCATTGTCTCACTTACCCTCACAGCAGCCCTGTAAGGTCATCTTGGGCCCATCTGACAGCCAGGAAGGCAGAGGCTGGGAAAGGTAACCTTGCTGAGGAGAGGTTTCCTAGCCCCCATCTGTCTGGGTCCAGAGCAGCAGCCCTCAGCCCCTTTGCTCACTGTCATCTGAGGCTATAAATGATTGAGATTTCACTGTTGCTTTCATTTCAGAAGAGGAAAAACAAAAATCTTATGGTGGATTCAGACCAAGGGCTTCAATCCTCACGTCCTTTCCCCAAATACAGTTCTTGAAGTGGAGAAAGAATGAATGGGGTTTTCATCTGTGTCCAGTCCCAGGTGGTGATTCTAGATACAGGATGGTGAGTCCCTGGCCTACGCTCTCCCTGGAGCCCGTTTCCTATGAATAATTCACTGTGCAAACACACACACCAGAAGGGACTGGGCTTGGCCTCCCAGGCTGAGCGCCCTACTGTATCCAAGGAGAATTGCCCTTTCTCTCAGCTACCCTGAGGTTGAAAGCCAGCGGCGGAGCCCAATGGCTTGTCCAACACTGCCCTCTGCAGGCCCCCAGGCTGCATCACCCCCAGCATGGTTGTCGAGACCTTCCAAGGGGCACACCAAAGGTTAGTTTTAGAGAATCTTTTTCCAGGTTCTCAATTTCTATAGGTAGTCTTTCCTCAAACTGGTTTATCTGAGAACATGTCTGGGTTCATAATAATCCTTCCCTTACTAGAAAGCATAGCCCTCACTTCACAAATCTTACTAAGGTGCCATTGCACCAAAGGTCAACATCTCCACGTCCAGGTCCCCAAACTGGAAGCTTCCTTTAATAATTAATTAAGGAATGTTTTTTTTAAAGATTTTTATTGGGGAATTGGGGGGATGGGAACAGTGCTGGGGAATTGGGGGAAGGGGAACAGACAAGTTGCTGTCGTTTTGTTCTTCAGTCTAGTTGTGGAGGACGTTGCTTCACTGGCCCAAGTTGGCACCATCATTGCGCTCTTCCTGGGCGAGGCAGATCAGTCGCCGGCTTCTGGACGATCGCTCACTGCGGCTGCTGGCCGCTCACGCTGGCTGCTGGCTACACACGGTAGCCCATGGCAACCCACTGCCACAGGGACTGCAGCCTACACTGTCGCCAGCGACTCACGGGCAGCCCAGCTCCAGGTTGAGCTGCTGTTCATCATTTTAGCTGTGGAGGGCAGTGTCACTGGCCCTCATATGTGGGATCCGAACCGGGGCCCTCTGGTGTCCCAAGTCAGTTCTTAACCATCGCGCCACTCGGCCGGCCCAGGAATGTTTTTATTTAACAACTCTGTCTCTTTCATCCCTTGAATTTGAAGGTGAACACTGTGAAAGCAAATCATAGAGAATATTGTAAATAATAATAACAAGATGAATAGGTACATTTAAAGAATGATGTCATAGCTTAATTTTTAAATTCTAACATTTACAATATGATGGAAGTTATTCTTAACTCCATATGGACTTCATGATAAACATTTAACATATCAATTTTTAAATGTGGGTATAGGTAACATTGGTTTTTTTTTTTTAACTGTTTTGAAAGGTACAGGAGCAAAACTGGGTGAAGACTGCTGTACCCTAGGGCTGACTATTACTGACTAATAACAGGCTGTCATCCGTTCACCCATCTATCCAACATCCACTGAGCACCTACTATGTGTCAGGCATTGTTTCGGGCACTAGATATAAAAATGGTGAACCAAAACCGACATGTTACATGCCAAATTCTTACGTGTGGCTAACTCTAGGAAGTTGAGTGAGGGAAACAGGTTAATTTAATAATTGCTCAAATAAATGTGAGACTTTAAGTTTGATAAGTATTCCAAGGGAGGGGTATTTGGTAATTAGAGAATGTATATGGGAATAGACAATGTATGATGAAGACTGACATAATTCGTGGGGGAAGTGTCAGGTGGCCCTAGACAAATGAAATCTGGACCAAGAATAAGGTATCCAGGAATCTCTGTGGGAGGACTGTGAAAACCCAGAAAGAAAGGCCATGCTAATATGGGGGGTTTGGGTAGAAATAGGATCAATCTTTGCAGACTCAGTTGTTTTTTAGAAAAGGCCTTTACCCTAATACAAGTATAGCCCATATTATAAATCAGTGGCTCTCAGCCCGAAGCAATTGTTCCTCAGGGGACATTTGGCAATTTCTGGAGACTTTTTTTTTAAACTTTATTGGGGAACAGTGTGTTTTTCCAGGACCCATCAGCTCCAAGTCAAGGGGTTGTTTTTAATCTAGTTGTGGAGGGCACAGCTCACTGGTCCATGTGGGAATCGAACCAGCAACCTTGGTGTTACGAGCACCGTGCTCTAACCAACTGAGCCAACCAGCCGCCCTCTGGAGACATTTTTGATTGCCGCAACTGGGAGGGTAGTGGTGGCATGTGGTGGATAGAGTCCAGGGATGCTACTGTTTACTCTGCTGTGTACGTACGGCCCTCCACAACAAAGAAGTGTCTGGCCCTAAAAGTCAATAGCACTGAGGTTGAGAAATCCTGTGATAGATGAAGGCAGGGCAGGCCCAACAGGTGCCTGTCGTGGATGTGGATTCATTTATTCATCCATCCATCCATCCATCCATTCAACAATCCTTACTCAGAGCCCACTATGTTCAAGACACTTATTCTGGGCCTAATCCATCCATACCAGGCAACCCCCTAACCAAAGCCGTCACTTCAAAATGGCCTGCCTGGTGGCGTTCCTGTTACCTAGCCTAAAATTTTCACCATTCGATTGGTGGCAAAATGGGTCTTATTGTTTGTAGAAAGAAGACATTAAAATGTATTAATGTTATTCACAAAATAGTCACCAAAACATTCTTTCTAACAGTGAAAACAACCTAAAAGTCCGTCAGTGGGGGAATGGTTACTTAATTACGATACAGCTAGACAATGACATACTAAGCAGCCAATAAAAAGGAAAGAGACAAATCTCTTTGAGATGACACTGAAAATAACCATAAAGATACTATAAACTGGAAAAAAATTTTAGAATAGCGGATAGACTATAATTGATCTGCTTTGTGTTTTTAAAAGTGGCTTATGTATATTTGCATGTATATGCAATTGCTACAAAATTCTTACCAAATTCTTAATAACGGCTACCTCTAGAGAGCAGAAAAGGACCTGAAACATGTTCATTGAGAATAGTTCTCCAATTTCCTCCTTTCACCTGATTAGATTCTCCCCTAGTTCATCCTCTTCATTGCTACCAATATTCGACTGTCGCCGACTTCTTAGAGTTCCTTCGATGTCCAGGACAATATCCATTTCTTATTGTTAAGTCCGAGATCCTCCCAAACTTGCCTCTAGCCAGTCGTAGGCTCTTCTTGGGAGCTGCTCTCCCTGCCCCAGCCCTCTTCCCACCTCACCTCCCTGGAGCTTAAGCCACAGTGAATTCACAAGGACTCTGTCACTCTTTCAAGACAGGCTCACCTCTGTGGCTGGAAAAAGGCCCTCCTCTGTTTCTGCCTGTGTTAGTCAGGATAGACTAGGTTATACTGTGGTTATAAATAATCCCCAAATTACAGTGACTTAAAGTCACAAAGGTTTATTTCTCACTCAACATCAACATGTCCATTGAGAGGCTGGCTGGCAAGCTCTGCTCCGTGTCGTCCTCAATCAGGGACCCAGACTGAGGGAGCTCCCGCCCTGTGCTTTCAGGAGGGAAAAGGAAGATACTCGTATGTTTACTAATATGTCAGCAACTGGAAATTACTTCTACTCACATTGAATTGGCCCAAGTAAATTTTACGGCCGCATTGAACATTAAAGGAGGTGAAGAATTTCAACCCTAATATTTGCTTTGAAAGCGGGGAGTTATAAAAATTTAGGGAACATGAATTCTGTAATTGTTGGGTGCAGTGTTCTATCTATGCCCACTAAGTCAAGTTTGCTAATCTTGTTCGAATACTCATTGATCTGCTCATTTCTGCTTGTGCTTTTTTCCTTTTAGCTTCATAATTCTAAAGTTACATTTTAAGACATGTACAAGATGTGTGCAATTGAACTTTTCATCATTATGATTTATTTCCTTTCGATATAGTAATGCTTTTTGCCTTAAAATCTACTTTTTCTGATATTAATATATACTATCAATATTAATATAATTTGGGTTAATATTTATGTTTTTCCACCATTTAAACATT